AACATATGGTGAGGCCTGCCTCTGATTAATAGCCAAGAGGCTTTTCAGGAAACATAATGAATTTCTCTTGCTGATGTGTGTGTGTGTGTCTGTGTGTGCGTGCGTGTGTGTGTGTGTGTAATGTATAGCTGAGTGGTTATACACTTCTGTTTGTGTTTAGTTTTTCTTTTTTCTACAAGTGGTGCTGATAGACATGAGAAGTGCTCCATTTTCATTACCTCACTTATCGACTCTGTGACGTTTTCCCATTTCCTTCTTCATTTTTCCTCTTCTCTTCTTCCTGTTCTTATCCACTTCCCTCCTGTTTCCCTTCTTTTCTCTCTGTGGGGTTAAGAATACAAATTGCACAGTGAGAATCCAGCTATATGAACTTGAAACAACTAATTAAAAGATCAATTGAGCTTTGTCAAATCRACTGAGACCGCAGCCAAAGCAACTAAACACCCCAATCTTAGTGAAGTAGTACAGGTCGTTTTGACAAACTTGTTATTCTGGGTTCAGATAGAGCCTGAATAACTGTCAAAACTTTTTGTTCGATGTCTTTGAATTTTTAGTAAACATGTATATATCAATCACTACCAAATGTCTACCCATCCATCATCCATCCATCCATCCATCCATTAATCCATTCATCCATCCTTTTGTTTGCCCATCCATCCATCCATCCATCCATCCATCATCCATTCATCCATCCATCCATCCTTTTGTCTGTCCATCCATCCATTCATCCATCTATCCATCCTTTTGTTTGTCCATCCATCCATCCATCCATCCTTTTGTCTGTCCATCCATCCATCCATCCATCCATCCATCCATCCATCCATCCATCCTTTTGTCTGTCCATCCATCCATCCATCCATCCATCCATCTGTCCATCCATCATCCATCCATCCATCATCTTTCTGTTTGTCCATCTGTCTGTTCATCCATCTGACATCCATCCATCCCTCCATCCATCCATCCTTTACTTCTTTTACGTCCTCTCAGGTACTTTCTGTTGCTTTCAGATCTGTGACTTTCTTCTTTCTTTRCGTCTTCCAACTTTACTTCYTCTACTTTCATCTTTTAGACTGAGACTACAATATAGAACTATTTTGTAGTGAGGCATTAACATTCTTCATCTACCCTGCCTCGCTCCACTCCTGCTGCTGTCATCCCTCCCCTCTTCCAATTACCTCAATCTCTGTAGCTTTGTCATGTTCTATCATTTGTGTTCTTTGAATCTGGAGATCTATCGTCTTCCCCCCTTTCTCTTTTATCTGTCTTACTCGGTGTGGCACCGAAAAGGCTCGCCTGTTTCATAGTCTTTGCCTTTGTATGCAGCCGAGTGCATACTGTMTATAATCTGAGCCTCTCCGCTAATTTGAGGAATGCTCTGTTCTGTTTCCCCATTGTGTGTCAGAGTGATCATGATGCGATCTGTTGTGTTTCGGTCCAGTTTTACACTGCATTTTAATGCTTTTGACACACTGCTGTACTCAGATYTTGTCTTTAAAAAAGGCATAAACAGTCAGATAACAGCACAGTCTTGTATGGAGAAGTTCATTTTCACCATGTCGCAGGTCTGAAATGTCTTTCGTTTCTCTTTTCACAGCATTTGACAGATGTTTTTCACATCCTTAGCTCACTCAWATCATCTCTGACACACTTGCACAGATGGAGGCATTATGTTGTCTCACATTAGCACTGCAGCAGACAATAAATGGAGCAGCGTGCAGTCTTCAAACACATCCAGCCTCCTGTGTCTGATGGTCACCGTCCGTCCCTCTCACTGCTGGTTCCAATGCTGATTTTCGCAAAACACTTTTCTTCATTTACCTTTCCCACAACTTCAAGTTTGAGTATTTAAAAACTCCCYTTTCACTGTGAAGCTGAATAATTTTTATCTACTGCAGATTTATAATAGTAACTGGATAAAGAGATATTTCAGATTTTTTAAATTTGATTTTTGTTTAAAGGATATGAACTATTAATATCTTACTTGTTGCAGATAGCATGTAACAACCTCAGATTGGAGAAATAGTTTTATTCTGATCAGACTGATAATTTAACAGCTAAGTGGGACTAATGTATACATGTTGTATAAATGTTGTTCAAAGACCCTCCTAAAATCTGAATTGTTCATTATTATTTATTTATTTTACTTAATTGATAATTAAAATATTTTTATATAATTTGTACACTTTATATTTGTAATTTAATGCAAACAAAAACATTGAAAGGTGAAAGATATTAATATTTGTTCAGCTCCTGAGCCAGCTTTAAATTGCTGGCCACCTTTGCAATTTTGTTGAATAACTCTGTGTTAATGTCTGGAAATAAGCTGCTTTTAAGCCAGCATTGATCATAAACTATATCTCCCATAATAGTGGATTATGCATAGGAATTCCCTGTCAAAAAGTGGGAGAGTTCAGTATTCTACACAGCAGCTACTCACCACAACTCAACTGCAAGTAAAACTCTCTTGTTTTTTACTTTTAACAGTATTTCTGTATTAATTATTTCATATTTAGTCACTCGAACATGTAGTACTTTTCAGTGTTTACAAGAGGATGTGTTAAAACACTTTTTCTATGCAGGAAATACCACATAGATGGATAAGATTATCAGAGGTACAGCACAGATTAAAGGACTGGAAGCTAAAGTTAGAGAGAGCGGATTGAGATGGTTTGGACATGTCCAGAAGAGAGACATGTTGATAGAAGGACATTAGAGATGCAGCTGCCAGGAAAAAGACAAAAAAAAAAAGAAGTCATCTAACCGGTTACACAATGGTTGCTTTTCAAGAGTTTTTAAATCTAGAACTAGCTTTCAAAAATGGTTTTTGACATCCTAAAAATGCTGTTTTCATGTGAACGCAAGTCTGAAACAATACAAGAAAAGACGGCGTATTCACAAAAACCCTTTGTGTATATGTAGGTGGTCTCTTTAGTTCATCTGTCTACATTTATTTTTTAATCCTTACAAGATTGCTCAGTCCTCCAACAATATCTAGATCTGTTTCTTCCTAAAGTCATGGCTCCTGACTCTTGGAATGATCCATTATCTCTGTAACCAGACTGGACTCCATCAGCCTTAATGATTAATGATCTGTCAGAAAACTTTGGGGGATTTTGCAAATTTTAACTTTCTTTCTGTGTCAGGAAACACTTTGAATTAGAATTAACATTTTTTGACTAAAAGCCAAGCCGTTCAGGTCAAAGTGAACAGAAAATAATAAAAGTTTATTAGAGGGCTTATTTGAGTGCGTTCTTGCAGAACTGCACCCAAAGCTATTTTCATTTACGCTATAAATTGTGTCATTTTAAATTTTACTGTAGGTGAAGCTTCTAGCTACCCGTGGACCGAGATAATTTGTTGAGACAGAAAAGCCATCTGTCTCTAACAGATTGTCATTTAAAAAATGTCAACTGCTCCCATAAAATCACGGGCAATAAATTTGTACAAGGTTGTACGAAGCTATTAGGAAAATTTATTGTTCTAAACAATATGCAGGTGGTCATTTTGGGGGGAAAGAACACCTCATTAAAAGGATATTGGGTCTACAAATAAATATATTTCAAGTATTACTTAAGGTTTTTGAGTTTGTATTCTCTGCAACTCTTAAGGTCCTTCTTAGGTTGCCATCTGATTCCAGCGGGATCTTGTCTGGTCCGTGGTTCTTTCTCTGTAAACTCGAAAAACCTGACCTATATATAAGGTCACTTATCTATTATTCTCTATTCTTAGATGTATCATTAAAGGTTTTAATATTAAAAACCAACCATTGAATTAAACCTCACTTATACAGTACATCTTCAATCAAATAAAGCTACATTTTAATTGTACAACATTTAACATTAAAAGATATTAAAATATATCAAATAATACTCACAACTTACTGTTTATGTAACCAATGTTTTAATAACTGACATTACAGAACACACATTAAGAAAGCTTATCATAATCTGAAAAATAATGTAAAATTTTAACCTCATCTATGTTGCATCAAATATCTCTTCTCTGTTTTCAACTGGCAACAATAAACCAAGTAAAACTTCGATCTTGGCTATACATAAGCATAAAAGAGCAAATACAGTAAACAGTCCCACATTGAACACATTGCACCATTATTCACCTCAGTTCACTTCCTTAACTTTTACACTGCACTTTGTGATAACTAAAACTACACAAAACAGGAAAAGAGCACATTTCTTACCATTACCCTGCTTTCAACGGCAAAGTTCGTTGTCTTCGGCTCTCGCACAGTTCAGTAAAAAAACAGGTATTTGAAGTCAATGTACTTTGTCCCCAACTGTTCAATCAATCAACTTCAAACTCCTAACCCAAGCAAGCGAGCTGGCTTTGCTGTCCTTTTACCATCAAACTCTGGGGTTTTGTGAACTTTTTTTCCTCTGTCTGCTTAACAGGTAGCGGTCCTCTTTTGTCGGAAGTTCGAAAAAAGTCTGGGAAAAAAAATTTGCGCAAACTTCACCTCTGAACTGGCGATCTGATGATGGTGTATGTGCTCAGTTGTTTTGCTAGGTACCCACCCACGTGCTGCGTGAACTGAGTGGTATTTTTGAGTGGAGTAGGATATTTTACCTTAGGTGATGTAAACAATACAAATGACAAAAATAATAATCTCTCATTAGCTTCACCTTGTGTGCTTTTTACCTGAGTTACATCTGCATGTTTGTTGTAGACTTTACCTTCAAGCCAACGCCACCATTCTGTTAAAATTGCTTACAACGACCCCGTTGAGAAACACTGACCTAATCTGACCGTAACATGTATGTTGTTTTTATTCATCGCCGCTGTGCTTTTGTTGGATGAAAGAAGTGAAGAGTAACAGTTTGTTGTGCTGCTGTTGCTCCTGTGTGGGCGTGTGTAGGAGTCATTGTAGTTTCAGGAGGTTTTTCAGTCACTTTTACCTCAGGTTTGATCCAAAGTGCTTCACAGAGGAGGACCAAAAGCCAAAGTTTTTTCTTTCCTTTTTTCCCTTTCCCCTTGCTGTGCAGGCAGATGGATGATTCAGATTCCTCGCTGCAGATGTTCGAAGTGACAGATGACAAAGATACATCAAGAGGGGGAATGAGGGGAAGATGTTACACCGCATAGAGTCGCGCCTGCTAGTGACCGAAAACAGGCAAAAAGGTTGTGCACATCAATCGGCGGGAGAGAAAAAGTGAGTGACTAGATTCACAGATTCACAGAGTGTTGCCCACCTGCTCTCCAGCTTCATTTTATTCCATTTTTTTAAGTTTGCAACATCAAAAGTACAACCTAAATGTGATTTATGTGGTCATGCCTTATATAGCACAAAAATATTGTTTAATTGTAAAGTTTGTAGCTACTAGCATACTGCTCACTAATGTCTGTTGTGCATTACACAATTCATTCATTTAATCTAACCATTGTTTTTTTTTTCAGAGTAGAATGATTGAACAACATACAGCTTCAGTAAATAAAAAATAAAAATTGAGTGGATAAGGTTAAATTTACTGTGGGTTGTCTCTGCAGCAAGCTTTTGGTATGAATCATCCTGGATAATTGATATAATTACAACAGTTCACTTCAGTTGGTTGGTTTTTTTAACCTCATGTGGCAGGTCCCTTAGACCAGTGGTTCTCAATCCTGGTCCTCAAGGACTCCTGTCCTGCATGTTTTGGTTATTTCCCTGTTTTGGCACATTTGTTTTAAATGAATGAGTGATTGGCAGGCTTATGCAGAACTTAAAGAAACTAGGGATGCATGGTATATCAACATTGATGGTTGTTAATGGTTGATGTTGGTCATTTTTTAGAATGTCGGTATTGGTCCGATAAGTAAAACTGGACTGATATTAATGTCCAACATTGATTTCTCACTTTTTAGCTTTTTGTTTCTCTTTTGGGAGGGGAAATGGTTGGTCAAGAAGTATCTGTTGGATCGTGATAGTAATACTGATGCTGCACAGCCCAGGAATAACTAAAGGACAGAGCCAACTCAGCGGTCTGGTCATTTATTTAGGTATCGAAAAAAGACACGTGTATGTATWTAAATAATTTCTGTGTTTGTGTAATATCCGTAAATATCAGTTAATGACCATTACAGCAATAATTGCATTGGACATCAATGTTGGCTGAAATTTTCATTTTGGTGCATCCCTAAGGGAAACAACTAAAACATGCTGGATTGGGGTCTTTGAGGACCAGGATTGAAAACCAATGCAACAAAAGTCTGATTTATTTTTGCACCATGTGACCAATTTTGGATGTTTTTATGAAAGTCTGAATGTGTCAAATTTGATCTATTTCAAATTTGACCGAGGCCTTTTTAGTTTATAGTATTAAATCGGATACATTGCTGATGWTTTTCAAAGCAACTGCAGTCTGAACTCTTGTGTCACATTTCATCTGACTTTTTACTTCAGTGAGGTGGGGATGAGCAGATTGATCCCATTATAATGATATTAACCTTGAATCGTGCAGTTTACATCTTGTAGCTCCACACATCCTCAGCTACAGAACAGAAGTCCAGTTGCTGTGTTTTGGTTCTTTCAATTTTCCATGTCCTGGATGACTGAGAATCCACACAAACATATGATAGTAACATCATCGGACTGCAGTTACTAGACCAATACCTTACTTCCAGCAACTCCTTTCATGGTGTCATATTTAAATTTGTAACTTGTCACTAGGTGTTAAATTGTAAAGTGAAGAAGTTAAAGTATAATTTTTGTGTTTTAAATATATTGAAATAAAAGTAAAATTTCCATTCATCTTCTTCCACTTATCCGGGATTGGGTCTCTGGGGCTGCAACCTAAACAGTGAGACCCAGACTTCCCTCTCCCCAGCCACTTGGGCCAGCTCGTCCGGGGGAATCCCAAGGCGCTCCCAGGCCAGCTGAGAAACATAGTCCCTCCAGCGTGTCCTGGGTCTTCCTCGGGGCCTCCTCCCGGTGGGACGTGCCCAGAACACCTCACCAGGGAGGTGTCCAGGAGGCATCCTTACCAGATGCCCGAGCCACCTCAACTGGCTCCTCTCGACGTGGAGGAGCAGTGGCTCTACTCTGAGTCCCTCCCGGATGACTGAGCTTCTCATCCTATCTCTAAGGGAGAGCTTAGACTCCCTGTGGAGGAAACTCATTTCGGCCGCTTATATCCGCAATCTCATTCTTTCGGTCACTACCCAAAGCTCGTGACCATAGATGAGGATAGGAATGTAGACCAACTGGTAAACAGAGAGCTTCACCTTCTGGCTCAGCTCCCGCTTCACCACGACAAATCGGTACAGCACCTGCATCACTGCAGACGTAGCACCAATCTGCCTATCGATCTCCCGCTCTGTGTGCAACAAGACCCCAAGACACTTAAACTCCTCCACTTGGGGCAGGACCTCCTCCCCGACCCAGAGGAGGCACTCTACCCTTTTCTGGCTCAAAACCACAGTGTCAGATTTGGAAGCACTGATCCTCACTCCAAACTGTATTTTACCACATAATGTATTTGCCTCTGTGTCTTAGGTTCTGTTTTCATCACATAATTTTTAGCATTCATGCTAAACCATATTTTATTATTTTCGTCAAGCTCCTCGTCTTCCACCACAGCTCAAGAATTCACCAACAACACTTCTCTGAGAAACGCTGACATTATTGTCCCAAATGATTCACAACAAAATAAAAGTTTGATGTTTTGTTTTGATTTTTTCTTATACGAAGTGCACACAGTTGGTTTTTTTTATTTATTTWTTTATTTTTTATTTTTATTTTTTGTGGATGCAACCCATCAAAATAAAAGCTGTTTAGTGCAATGAACTATGGTTTATGGTTATGGTGAGTGGGGATAGATATAAAATCCATATGAGCGGAGGCCTCCTAAGTGGGCCCATTGCTCTCCCCCAAAAGACACTGGTCTTTATTCAAACCTTCTCGTCCCTCGGATGAAGGACACCAGGTTAGAAACACTCAGTTTTCTGAGCTATTCAGGGTCCATAAAGGGGTCCCCAAGAATTCTTTTCCTTTGACCAATCAGAGCCAAGCAGTACTAAGTAGCACAAAGAGGTCTCTAATTCAATGCCACAGGCATCACACAGACCATTGTCTTGGAGTCCCATCACCATTTTGTGGCGGTTGAGCAGATTGTACCCAGTTAGGACTCCAACCAGTGTACTTAGAGTTTTCCTTGTCAGGGAAATGAGAGCTTTCTCAAATCTTAGATTTGGGCCATTAATCAGTTCCCATGCCTGTCTACAGTCCGTCAGCTCCCTCCAGTGGATTGAGTGTTGACGTCTATTCCAGGCCTGTAGGGCAGTCCTACAGACTGTTGTTGAGGTACCTACAACAGGCTCTGGTCCTTTGAAGTGAGCCTGACTGCCAGCTTTTGTGAGGTAGTCAGCTCTCTCGTTACCATAAATGCCAGTCTGTCCTGGTACCCATTTAACAGTAACACTGTTATCTCTCCCCAGTTGGTTGACTGCTTCGGCACACTCCCAAGCCAGTGACGGCATAAAGTGTGGCCCTCGGAGAGCTTTAATAGCAGCTTGGCTATCTGTTAGGATGAATATTCCCTTCTGTGTACACTGAAGGTCTTTGAGAGATGCCACACACTGGTGGATTGCATATATCTCAGCCTGAGATACAGTTGCAAAACAATCTAGTGGGTATTTATGTTCTCTCTTACTATGACTTATAGTTTACACGTTGTTCCTACATCGCAGGGCCTGCAAGCTGACTATTGTGCACATCTACATTGCAATGACAATGCTTAAATGATAAATTGTGCAGCTCTTGACCTGATTCAGTGTTAGGACTTGAATCAGTAACCCTGGTAGAAGAAGAACTGGCCAGCTTTACTTGCCAATAGACACATTTCCCTGAAAATTAGTAACGTAGTATGTATATTTTTAAGCCTGTATGTCAAACAAAAAGTTTTTTGAATTTGTTTTTCTTGGCAGTCTGATAAAATAAGAATACATCTCCCAGCCACCCCACTCTGTATTTTATTAATTTTTTGTCCCCCTAATCTCACAAAACAGAGAGAGCAGCAGCAATTTGTTCCCACGGTGAAGTTCAAAGCGACAGTGGCAACATCTGTGCCTTCCTGAGGCATCAACCCTTTGTGATGCTGCAGCTGGATCTGCGTGGCTCTCTCTAGGAAGTGAGCCGGAATAACTTGTACAGTCACAACACCAATTTTGAGCCACAAAGGATGCGAGTGGTTGGCTGAGGCACACAATTAGTCACTCTGCGGGCCGCCTCTAATCTTTGGCTTTAAGCTAATGAACCGTGTATTTTCATGCCAGTTTTAAGTCTTAAGACAGAATGAACAAAAGGGGAAAAAATAAGATAATCAAAACAAGTTACTGTACTGTGGAGTCAACTGATTGTTTACATTGTTGGTGACTCAGACTTTCCTGCCCACTCTCCTCCTTTACCTCTGGATCCTTTAGTCTAATTTCCCTCCCTTTGCTCCATTTGAGTCCTGTGTGATATATGGCTGCTTTAACAGCCCAGTTTAAAGGTTTGCCTGCAGTGCTGTTTAGTTTCCTGTGAACAATGCTGATGCTTACCTCCAGAGGTGGGAGATAGGAAGCAGCCTGCCTTTTCCACACTCTGCAACACTCTGAAGAGATAAACACACAACTTATCCCGACACACAACAAATCGTTTGTTCACCTCATCAAAAAATGAATAAAACCATTTCTCTTTATGTTCTGACCAGGATATTAGAAACAGCTCAGCCCGTCTTTATCTAAATTTAAATTATAGATCATTTTCAATCATGTGTGTGATAACCTCTTTCATGGATACTGCCGGCAGTTTATTGATTTTATGTTGTTGTCTCGGTGCAGGCATACCCAAGGAAGCTAATCAATAAATTGTGTTCAAAGGGGTAGTTGCTTCTGTAAGATTTGTTTCCAAAAAAGATCCATGTTGGGGTTTTTTTTCTGTTAAATTTTCTATTTTTTGTGAAGTTTTATGTTTTGCTACAAGAAAAGCTATGAGCTGACGGGACAGGAGTCTCTTTAAAACATTACTGGAGACTGAATCATTTATTATTACTGAAAAATAACTCAAATTTGTTGCATTCTGCTTTGTTTAGTCTCAGATACATTTTTTACAATTCTTACATTATTTTATGTGTTTATTAAGGCGATAGTATAGATCTTCTAAAGTGAGGTTTGATGGAAAAGTCAGGAATAATTAATATCTAAACTGTTGTAGATAGCTTTCCTAAAACCCTCAGTTTGGAGAAATGAGTTTAAGTGGAGCTCGGTTGAAGAGCTTAACGACTTGTCTGAGTGGGGTCAAAATGGATGCTGCTGTGTTTTAAATCAACCTGAACCTAAACTGATTTGTGATTTTTTTTGCAAACATTTTAGACAACCTCTACCGCAGTTGCCAGCTATTTATTCAGAATTTATGATTCTTTACAAGTGCACTGACCATCAGAAGCTAGATAAAACACTTTTGGGGTCACTTCCAGCAAGAATGTCATATTTCTGTAAAAAGGTCATGTAACACAAAACTGAAGATGGTGTAAAAGATTACAAATTAGCAAAAATACAAACTGTCTTGAAATTTTCTAAATCAGAGTGTTTTTGAGATAAGAAAATCCATTGTGCCTAATTTAATCTAGCCATTCGCGCTCGTCCCCATTTCTCATTCAAAGAGCTACCTACAAAAGATGAGATATTGTTAGTATATTATTATTGTTATTATCACTAATCTATCTACCCAACTCCAAAAGGCCGGAGCTCTCCTATTAAACTTTGGAAAGTGGCAACRTGCATAAAGCTACTAAACGAGAGTGTCAACGAATGTTTGAAGATGTTGAGCCACAAAGTATAGAATAGTGATGGGAGATTATTTTTCATCTGAGAAGCCTGCTATTTTAAAATATACACCTTTTTTAATTTTGTAGCATACTTTTAGTGTTTTCAACAATATATTGAGTAAGCAAACTTTTAAATGCTGCACCGAATATATGGAAAACTACACATTTGAGGAAAAACGACTTAAAAAAAGACCAAGAATAAAGTAAAAAAAAAACACAATGCATCATTTTTGCGTTCCAAACGTTTTCTAGAGGAAAATGAACTTGGATTTGTTGACCAGTAGGACTTGATGCATTGAATTGCTGTTTCCTGAGTTCAAACATGTTTATACAAATATTCTGTTTGTTTGATAAAGTTACACTCTAAACAGAAATGCAATGACATTTTGTGTTCGTGAACCTTTTCAATTAATTTTGGTCATTGCTTCTCTGTTGATTTTTACTTCCTACCTAGCAGTGCAACTGGTCTTTTATTTTGAAAAATACCTGAAGTTGTGCAGCATTTTGTAGATGCCCCAGGGCTATTTTCAGGGACCAGCCACACGGGGGGTGGGGGGTAAAAGTACAGCTATTATTTATTTTTTACCTTTTAAATGTGTTTATTTTGCTGCACTGAAATATCAATTTAAAACTGATCAAAAATGTATTTTATCTTAAATTAAGAAAAAACACTTGTTTTTAAAAACTTATTGGCAGGCTAGACTAAAGTCATTCATGGGCCAGATATGGCCTTTGTGCCAGCAATTGCCCTAACCTATTACAATATTAATGCTTAATAATGGATGTGTGAAAAATTCTGACCTCAACTGTATAGGTGACCACTGTACAAACTAATTTTATGTTTGGTTAATCCTTGAAAATTAATACATTTTGTGCTGACATGTAAACTCAGTAAAAGTATTTAAAAATCGTAAAACCACAAAAGTACCATATCAAAGACATAAGATAAAAAAAACAGCATTATCAAAGAGGTCAAATACTGTTTTATAGAGCAAAGAATTGTATCCGCTCACATTTTATTTACACTCACATGCATTAATATTCTGAATGAAATACTGTTATACACAATCACGCTTAATCCGTTCATTCATTTCCTTACATAAATATGTTTAAAAATGGTAAAGTAATGTTTACATTTACACATGTTAAGCAGTTCAAATGCAACATGCCTGCATGGTGAAAAACACTACATGGGAATTCTCTTACTGTGTGTGTAGTAATGTGTAAAATACAGTACAAACACACTTGTCTTTCCGGCTATGATCTCCTTGATCTAGCAGAATCAGAGACCCACTGCGTATTCTCAGCTGGAGGCACGGGTCTGTCTGAAAATGTATGCTTTCTCTTAAAAACACACTCGAAGGCATGAAAACAAACAGGCATGCGTATCCATTCACTTTTCATGCCCACACATTGTAACACACTGCCTTATTGGTTTTCTGTTAATGACAAAGACGTGAGTGAAAAACATGCGTGCACACACACTTCCACTCCAACTCCTCCACCTGTCCTTGAAGGCGATCATGAGGCAGTAAGTCACTGAGTGTTAGGGGGTAAACAGAGAGTGCAGCTTGTACTTTTGCACAGACTTCGATGTAAAGGTGTAAACAGCAAAGTCTCAGCTTATCTACGTGAATTTATTTTTAACGACAGTCATATATAGGCACTGCTGCTAGCAAACCTTTTATTCCATGTGTGAACCATAATGACAATCTGTCCAGTGCAAGGAGATTTGCTGCAAGGATAAGGAAGGCGAGGGGGAAAAAAGTGTGGGTGGGTGGGTTGATGGATGCATGAAGGATGCAGGAGATAATTAAGAAGACAAATCTATAAAAAAGTAAGAAGGAATAAAAAAACAGCTGTATTGCAGTGGTTTAAACCACACTCGGGCCATTAAAGGACTGTCATTCATTGCAGTATTTGGTCAGTTTCAGTATGGGCCTGATCTTGGCCAAAGTTTGCTATATGGGGTTATTTATGAAGCATTTTGCCAAAACGTACAAATGTACACACACACACACACACACACACACACACACACACACACACACACACACACACAAATACACACACATGGGAAAAGCCTTTTCATTCCTCCTTTTCCTTAAATAATGATTAATGGTAAATCTATAACTAATTAGCTTTTGAAGCCAACCACATTCAATATGGGTGCCACGACCAACTCATCTTAGAAAACATAAAATGTCTATAGTCCAGTCAGTTTTACAGATATTGAGCTAAAGTTTGACGTGGAGTCATTCACAGCACATCCTCCTCGTATAATAGATTTTTTAAGGTTTAACCAAAGTGGCTAACTTTGTCTAAAATAATCCTTATCTTTTTATTTGTTCTTTCCTCAGCTCAAACTGATCATCAACACTGATCTTGGAACCCTCCCGGATAAACTACAAGCCAGCACAAAAACAAGGCTTATTGCTGAATGCCGATATTGAAACAGCTTCATACCATTTTGGCAAAACTACCTAGCAGAGATTGGGTGGGAGCTGGAGGCGTGGGCAACAAGCCATGGATATGAGTGATCCAATTTCCAGCTCTAAATTAGAAACATCTTAACTCTCCTCTCAATCAGGCAGGAGATGTGGCTGGTAACCAAACCGGCAACTCGAGACAGCCTGGCTCAGTGCACACCTCGGGATCTTCTTTCCTAATGGCTTCCTGGCAGGAAATGGGAGGTTCAAACCTCAAACCACAATCTGAGGCTGTTTTCAGAGAGCAATACTTTTTTTAAATGTTATACAGAGTCCTCTCTTTCCCTCAGTCCATTTTCCTATCGATCAGATTTCTCTTGGCCAGTCATGTGGAATTTTTTCTAAAGTCTCCGTTGACGCAGAGAGCAATTTTTCCACTACCATTTTGGTGCATCTTCTGATGAAGAGAGTGGATTTAAACCAAAGGAATCCTTCATTTTTTTAATCTTGGAAGGCGTCTCCATTTCTCTGTGGAATGGGGGGCTCGGCAAGGGCTCTTCTGGGTGGATTTGGCACTACCACCTCCTCCCTGGAGGTTGGAGGTCGGATAGGCTGGCCAAGCAACAATCCTCTGGATCTTAACCAAACCCTGCCATGGGGAACAGGAGGTAGCAGTGGAGTCGGAGGTGCAGCCGCCATGAGTTTAGTTTCGGACAACTCGACCGCACAGGGGTCAGTCACCAGGACTGTGATTAAGGAGAAAAACTGGCCGGCGCTGCTGATACTCGTCATCATTGCTCTGACAGTTGGTGGGAACATTCTGGTGATTCTGGCGGTGTCACTGGAGAAGAAGCTTCAAAATGCAACCAACTTCTTTTTGAGGTCGCTGGCGGTGGCAGACATGCTCGTAGGCATCCTGGTCATGCCAATATCCCTCATCAACATTCTCTATGGTAAGTCATGCATACACAAAGAATAACYTCTGTAATACTAAAAGTTGGTTCCTCTATCTCCCTCAGGCAAAAATAGACCAATGTTTTTGCCCATGTTTTGTGTGTGTGCGCGTTTGTCAGTACCAAAATAGGAATATATCAGTCAGTGGTGGGCATGGTTCTACTATTCCTTTAGTTTTATTTGTTAGGGGTAACCGTGTTCACGATGCCAAAATGTGAARAGCGTGATGAGGACTGTTTAAAATCAGAATCAAACTGAAACAGAAACACTATGGAAATGTAATGGGTTTACCATGTTTTTTTTTTCATAATTTAAAATAGGAGCACTTGTCTGAGGTGGGAAAATTAATTTTGAACCTTTGTTGGTCAATAGGAAACAGAACATACAACATAATATAGTGCAGTGAATATTGCATGACTTCACCATACATTCAACCCCTTTGGATGTTTACCTTTATAATGAGCCTCAAAAATCTGTAACTTTTGCAAAAAAAAATCCTTATTAATCACATGTGGGGGTGGGGGGATGCCGGCGGACCACCAGCCACGAGGAGAGGGGGCGGGGTGCAGGCAGACTGTTAGCTGCAGCAAAGTCAGCAGGAAATGAGGATGGAAGAACTTCTATTGGCATGGGTTGGAAGTGGATATTTGATGTTATTATTTTTTAACGTCCTACAGGCTCTGACATGTTAAATAAATTCGAAACCTAGTTTTTGAAAAAATCCGTAAAATGGTACTGAACTTATAGAGCGCTTTTCAAGTCCCTCCAGACCCCAAAGTGCTTTACACTTACAGACATTCACCTATTCACGCACTGATGATGGCAAACTACACTGTAGCCACAGCTGCCCTGGGGCACACTGACAGAGGTGGGGCTGCCATGCACCGGTGCCACCGGACCCTCTGACCACCATCAGTAGGCAAGGTGGGTGAAGTGTCTTGCCCAAGGACACAACGACTGAGACAGCTGGATGGGGGATCGAGCCAGCAACCTTCCGGTTCCAGGATGACTCCCCTAACCACTCCTCCACAGCAACCCCCCCCCCCCCCCCATGTAAATATGAAAATATCTGTGACATTACTCTATACGTCCATATACCTGCAAAATGATGGAAAATCTGTGTAAATTACGGACAGTCGGTACAACTTGACATGAATGCTTCACTGACCTGATGAAATATCAGTGAACTGAGAAAGTGAGAGTGGCACTAAAGAAAAGACATCAATCAACCACAATGTTTAAAGCAATTGACTAAATATATTTTAGATACACATTGAACTGGCTAAATACTTGTCTCTTGAACCACCGCACAAATTTAATTAAACTCCTGATAAATTATCTCTACAAGTTAATAAATAACCTTCTAGTGTAGGGCTGAAACTCATGACTATTTTGATGGTCAACTAATCTACGACGATTTTTCTAATCAATCAATAATTATTTTTGTCACGACGTCCATCTGAGGTTCCTGTGGATGCACCTCCTGTTCCAGCTCCAGTACACATCTCAACTTAACTAAATAACACATGAAACATTAATTTGAACCTGAAACTTAATAGATTACTTAGATTCTAACATTAATGTAAAGAAAATAAAAAGGAAATTATGTAATACTTGTTAAACTACAAGTAGTCTTTTAAACAAACAACTACAAATAACTCAAAATGTTAGCCTGAACTTGCATTTTACTGTCTTTGGTTGATTTTTGATCAAATGTAGCCAACATTGGAAAGTTGAAGTCTAATTTTTTTTCCTCTTTATCATAACCGTCTTTCTGTTCTGCCATTATTATCGCTCTTTGATTTGCCCACCATGGCTTCTTCTGTGGTTTGCAGAGCGGCATGCCACATTCTTCTTCTTTTGTAAACAAAGCAACCACAGACAATAGAAGCAATTCTGCCCCCATCAGTTCATGAATTGCACTGAAGTTACTAATGAACATTTACGTGGGCAAATAATATGATGCGTCGACGTTAAAATTCTGCTTTGACGTCGTTGATTATGTTGCCTAATCGTTGCAGCCTAGTGTCAACCCAGTTCAGGATTGCCATCACAGCTAATCAGCCTTATGGTGCGTTCACACCGAACGCGATTTCAGCGTCAGGAGCAGCAGGTTTACATTCAAAGTCTATGGTGGACGCGCTTCAAGCAACGTCGGGAAGTTCTGCGGCGCCTCAAGCGCGATTAGAGCAGCGCGATTTGAACGATTTGGACGATCTGAGCGTCGAACGCTCAGATCGTCCAAATCGTCCAAATCGCTGAAGTTTAATCGCGCTTGAGGCGCCGCAGAACTTCCCGACGTTGCTTGAAGCGCGTCCACCATAGACTTTGAATGTAAACCTGCTGCTCCTGACGCTGAAATCGCGTTCGGTGTGAACGCACCATCTTACACAAGTATGTACCACTGAGGTTAGTATTACAATTGGATACGTACCTCTGAGGTTCGTATCAGAGTCAGGTGTGTACCTCTGAGGTTAGTTTTAGAGTCAGGTGTGTACCTCTGAGGTTTGTCTTAGAGTCAGGTGTGTACCTCGGAGGTTAGTTTTAGAGTCAGGTGTGTACCTCTGAGGATAGTATTAGAGTCAGGTGTGTACCGCTGAGGTTAGTATGACAGTCGGATATGTACCTCGGAGGTTAGAATTAGAGTCAGGTATGTACCTCGGAGGTTAGAATTAGAGTCAGGTATGTAC